TCTGAGAACCTCCCGTCCTCTGAACCGATAAAATTTTGGTACACAACGAGGTAGTGTAAATATATATAGATTCTAGGGCTCCTATATATGATTTTGTACCCAAAACAAATTAAATTGTACCCAAAATACTTTGTGAATTTGTACCTAAGAAAATAAGACAATAGATCTATAATTATATGTATGTTTTCATGTAGATGAACAGAACACATAATAAAATATTTCATCAAGTTCCAAATATGATTAGGACTGTGATCCTTGAAATTGATTGTTTAGTTTTGAGAGAAAATTGACGTCTTGTCACTGAAGGAGAGGCCAGTTAAGTTGGTTAAACCTAAGTTAGAATGAATTGTTTTGATAGGAAAGTGATATTATGTTAAGTTTAAGACACCAAATTAATGTATATCTTTGAAATAATTCTAGGTAGATCTACAAAATCACATACCCATTTGGGTAACAAATTACTAGAAATTTTGGGTACAAAAGTCACCACTGTACATTTCAACTGATTTTCGTGAATCAATGGGATAAAAAAATTCCGTTTGAATGATTCCTTTTCTCATTTTTTAAGAGAAGAATTTGTTTTACATAACAAAACAGGCAGATCTACACGGATCACGTGTAGTCCTAAAAATGTGAAAATATGGACACCTCAGAAATGAGGGCTTATAAGGTTATAATTCTACCTAACTAGTCACATGGTTTGACTAAGATCTAGGTCTATCCAAGAAAAGTCCTTATGAAAATTCTTTTTTAATTTTTTTTATGACACTGACATTTCTGGCACTTTGACAAAGAGTATTCAAGGAAAGACAGATATGTTTTTAAATGAAAATATGACTTTCCTTTATAATTCTTTTTTCATGATGACAGGGGAACTTTTATACACACCAGCTGAGGAAGTTGTGATACTGTGATTGCATACAAAGAAAAAACAGGTTGGAAGCAGTACCTGTATGTATAAAATAGACCACATAAGGTGAACAAAAGTAATGGATTGGCTGACTGGAAAAAATACATCTGGCAAGGGTAAACATGTACACAGGCATGTTTATTTTCATTCTTACCAGAAGACTGAGATAGCATTTTCTAAGAAACCTATGGCAAACTTACCAGCTCATGTGCCACCATGGTTCTTGTGATTAAACAAACAAAAATGTCATGTACTGTTACAAGTGCTGTTACTGTAATTAAATTAAATTAATTCCTATTAAATTATTTTTTTATATAATTGTTTTATTAATATTTGGAAACAAACCACATAATGCACAAGATTAATGTCCATATGAGTTTAGTATGTATATGTTAAGGATCTGATTTATTCATTATTCATGGAATACTAAAATTAAAATGATGACATCAGAGAGTTACTTATTCACATAGTTGATTTTCAGAGTGCAAGATAATAACTGTTGAATAAATATGTTTAAACTAAAGATAATAATTGAAGTTTGATCAGTTACACTGTGCTGATGCAAAGACTAATATTTACTGTCCCCACACACCATCATTGTGGGGAAAATAACTATTAAATATAACTTTAAATTTTAAAACCTGTAAACAGCTGTAAATAATTAAACAATTACAAATCTATCATCAATACGCAATCATATGGTGGTCTTCATATTTTTGGAATAAATTTAGAAATCCTTCGTGAAACTGTTCTAAAATCATGCTAGAATCTACAAGAAAACATTGATGCAGAGCATCAAAGTTCCCCGCCATATGTGATGCCTCACAAACGCATAATTATGATGTTACTGAAAGGCATGATGGAGCATAATTATATTAACCACAAATAACACAACGCTGTTGTGGAAAAAAATATTATTTATTTTGAGTATTGGGCAATACAGTTGATACATTTGCATAGGGTAGGTCTTTTTAAAAATAGTTTCTTGTTTAACGCCGCACTCAGCATTATTCCAGCCATATGACGGAGGTCTGTAAATAATCCAGTCTGGACCAGATCATCCAGTGATTGACACCAAGAGCATCGAACTACGCAATTGGAATATGATGTTATGCATCGACCAAATCGGCGAGCCTGACTACCCAATCCTGTTCGTCGCCTCTTACGGCAAGCATAGGTTGCTGAAGACCTATTCTTACCTGGGTCTTTATTTAAAAAGTAGATCGAAGGAAATGGAAGCAATTTCTGTCACAAATGTAAACATGTGGAAATAGTATCAAAACTGCCAACAACATTGGCAGATGCACTTACTCAAAAAATAGATCACATTCTTTTTACACTTAGCATTTGGTTATAATAATGTAAATGAAAATACTAAGGGCTCCATATGGCAAAAAAAGTCATACTAGATAAGGTCTTTTTGTCACAACCACAGATGCACATACTCAAAATATTATCACGTAGTTGGAGAACATTTCAATACCGGAACTAATCGATAACGGAGATTCCTCGTCTCTTGTTTTACGTTTTTTGGTCAGTTTTTGTGTGTATTTCTTTCTTTCAAAGAATAGTAATTGTGATCATGATGAGTTGAGTTACTTGGTTTTTTTCTATATACTGTTTTTTTATCCAGTGTCAGTAACTGTTGTGGAATGTGGTTTACTTGTAACAATGACTGGTTTGAGTTCATATGATGATGATAGATTGGTTTGTCGTTTAACGCCGCACTCAGCAATATCCCAGCTATATGACGGCGGTCTGTAAATAATCGAGTCTGGACCAGACAATCCAGTGCCTAATATCATGAGCATCGATCCAAGCAATTGGGATCGACGCCTCTTACGACAAGCATAGTAGCCTGATATATATATACTGTTAAGATGTAACATGACAATTCATCCATACTACTAAACAGAAGTAAAACAGCTTGTCCATTCGGATCAATCTGACCAAGACCATTCCGCTGATGACAGCAAATAATGCATACGAATCGAAATCCGTAAAAGAAATGGAATGGAGACATCATTAAAAGTTACAAAAAGTGACGGGGATATCAATATTGCTTTTTGAAATGATTCTATGAAATTTGTTTTCCCTGCTTCAATATTTGGAGCACCTGTGACGGAGCCATAAAACTGATCTGTTGTGTAGACAATATCGCTTGAGGCAGTGGCTGCTGGGGACTGATTATGACCTAAATACACCTCATAGCCTTCGGTGTTAACTTTGTGGCTGTAGAGAGCTGTGCCTTCATCCCACAGATTATCGAGGTCAGTGGAACACGGTACAGACGCAAATAGATTTGAGCTATGGGACACAAAATATATGAATGACCAGAGCTACGGCTGTACATTGAATTCCATTAAACGGTTGAAAAATACTACAGCCTTGATGCAAATTCGCTGACACACTACTCCGATTTTGCTTTGACTTTGCTACCAAACGTTTCACATGTGGTTATGTGCGGTGCACTGATTAAACAACACACATGGGGGACTGGGTTAATTCAGAATACGGAATATAACTATTCCAAATATTTCCAGTGAACATGAGCATCCAAACAATCAAAAGTGTGGTATGTAGAATATGGAATTCAGCCATATTACATTTAAATTGAGATGTCGTTGTTCATGAATAAGCATATTCAGAACATAATTTTTATTATGCTGTTATTTACGATCTCCGGAGCACAGTTCTTCTTTTGTATACACCGTGAAAATCAGAAAATTAGTCCTTGAGGAAAAAAGGACATCGGATTACACATGAATGGTTTAATAATGCCAGCTAATGACCAGAAACGGTCAGATGCATCAATTAACTACATAAAGACGACTTTGAAGTATCTCTTATTGCTGGAAAAGAATAGCATCAACATTTGACGCACATGATTTGTATGTTTTGTTTCCGTAAATGCGTGGCTTGAAATTTCAAATAAACCAACATGTCGACATGCCACAAATTTAACGTTTCCCGTATACTTCCCCGCCTTAAGGGCGGGGAAGAATGAATGTATTCCCGAAAGGAAAACTATCCTTAATGTAATGTGGAACTAACACCGAAAATATGTACGTAGCATTTTATTGCTTATATATACCCTATCATATTCAGCAACGCGGGGATGTTATTTTGAAACACGTTTTGTCAAGCCCATTTTCGCGCACCTGTTGTTGAGGGTGATCTTGCTGATCGACGATATCCATAGACGTATTACGTGGGATACACTTGTTGTAGTGAAGCTTATCAGCGTGTACATCGCAGAAATATGAATCATGTCCCATTTGTATTCACAACACTGAATGGTGATTCTTAAATATCAACAGAAGTTCAAATAAAAGATACCGAGAAACTTGCATGTGGCATGTTGATTTATCGTCTACCGTTTCCGGGTCACGGGAGCATGCAAGGTCTAACGGATTAACTAATACGCGAATTATATCGTCAAAGTCACATTTTTATTTCATGTTAGTGGTGATTACTGATACTGTGTATCGACTTATATTTTTGCTGTATGTGATAGGCGAACTATTTCAAAATTTACTGTAATTGTTTTGTTTCGAAAGCTTATCAGCAGACTACCCCTGTCTGTGACATCACATCCGGTGACCTTTGCACTTATTGAAATAGTGCTGTCAGAATTCACGATCTTTATTTTCATTTTTCTGTCGTCATATTTATTGGAGTATGACGAATAAAACATTCTTCGATTGAGAAGATCGTCAACTTTCGCCAAGTTATATTTATAAAGGCAATGTAAACTTTGTTGATATTAAAATAGCAATAAGTTATGCGGAGGTCGGGCGAAGCGCGCCATGTTTGATTTTAGGACGTCTGCTAGCATCATGACACGGGTTGTTTATTTTTGTATATCGTAAATATTCAACCAAAACGCTTGAAATTAGGATTAGTGAATATTTATAAGTCATTAATTGTTTCCTGCAAATTTTATAACATGACACGTCAGATTAACCCGAATATTCGTATTTCTGCAACCGACATGATGACCTCGAAAAATAAGTTATTTTTCTGTTTAACGTTTAGGTAATAAATTTACTGAAATGGTTCATAATTTACCATCGCGCTGTTATATGCCGATACAAAAAACCCTAATTTTTACTCAATTAAAATTAACATATCGGAGACATGATTATTGAAATCAATTTGCACAAATGTTACGATATTAAAAGTTTCCTAGCATGAAATGCAAACCACTAGACTGGTTCCCGGATCCTCCGCTTGGTGTCGCTGCACTTGTTCCGCGTTTCAATCAAAGGACCGGTATCGCCCACCATGACACATCGTCTGCTACAACAAGATGGCGGCTGTCAAAATGCATTGGGCGAAGCTAGTGAGCTCTGGAAAATTGTAGTTTTCCAAGTAATGGAGGTTAGTATTGGTACCAACATAACGGCTATGGGATGTCAATGTATTCTTTGACTAATTTCGTGCAAATATTGACACGGCAGTGTTTTTGTTTTAAATGGAGGACGATGAATCTCTTATGAATTTACCTTCTGAACAGATTATCATGAAGTTCTTACGCAAGACAATTTAAGTTTCTGAGAAATTCTGTATGAAACTGCTGTGTTGTCAACTATCTGTTGCATGGACTATTACATATGCACTTATATTCATAATTCATATGCTTGTCATTGTGTCTGGTAGTACGAAATTGTCATTTCTAGGCAACAACATGACACGGCCAAAATGTCAATGATAACACATGAAACTGAATTTTGCCCGAAACAATATCTAGAGATATTTTGTGAATAGTTTTGATGATTCCCGCATCAAAAAATTAAAGGCAATGAAAGCACGAATAAATATTTTGCTGCAAATATTTTATCGTGACAATAATTACGAAACGGGAATCATTTGAACTGGGCTATGTTTATGGTCAGATATGGTCATGTACCCTAATTTCGTGGGTATATTATTAAATTCCTGAGCATACTGAGGGACCATTTGATATTGGTGGGAGAGTGGGGTAGGGGATGGTGGTCTGGGTCTAGGATTGTGTTTGGAGACAAAATATATTATCAGCTACAGCTGAAATACCAGATATTCTTTTAATTACAACTATGAGACTAATCATGTTTTTATATGCCTCTTGCAACAATGAATTCTTTGTAGCAGTCAATTTTATTTTTTTCAACAGTTTGAAGCATGAATATTTTTTCAAGCATATTTCAGGGACAATTTATTTTTCTTAATAAAATCCCAGCCCTACCACCAGAATACCAAATGGTTGGTCCCTTATGTCTTGATTCAATCAAAGAATTAACATTATAAATATGATCAACTGATGAAAAAAATCAGGACAATGAATAAATCGTCAAATGCTTCATATTTAATTGAAAGGACATTAAAGATCTCTCCATATTTATAGGGTCAGACTAGACTATTATTTTTAAATTATTTGAAAAGTTCTATATAGTAATATTTATTTTTATTTATAAATATTTAATCATTTGATGTTACTTTTAAAATGTGTCCATCTGATGATCAGGTTAACCAATGCATTACAATACATAAAGAGTCAGTTGAATAGGTTGCACTACTTTAACATGCAACAGGCCCTATGCAGGTACATATAATATAATAATATGTTGTTGAATGCCTTTGTGAATATACTACATGTACAGTAACTGTAATTACATCTGTTGTCTCCAGATTAACAGCTGGTGTCACGTAAGGCCATAGAATGTTTCCCGGATCCTCTGCTTGGTGTCGCTGCTCTTGCTCTGCTTTCCAAGGAATTAAAGGACCGTTATCGCCCACCATAAAACATGGTCTGCTAAAACAAGATGGCGGCTGACAAAACACATTGGGCAAGGCTTGAGAGCCTTGAAATATTGTAGTTTTCGCAGTAATAGAGGTGAGTATTAGTACCCACATAATGGCTATTTGATGTCAGTGTATCTTTTGACTAATTTCGTGCAAATATTGATACGGCAGACTATTATTTTTTATTCATTTGAAAATTTCTTTATAGAAATATTTCTTTATATTTATTAATATTTAATCATTCATTACCATGTAATTATTATTTGTATTCAAACTGCATACACATACATGTTTGTTTGTAGGAACTTGCATAAGAATGAAGTCATGACTGACCGTACCATAACATAATCATTGATACAAAGTTTAGGTGGTAAAGATTAAGACAAAGCAAACAGTATTGGCCATCCTGACAAGTTTTATATGAGACTCCCTACATTATTTTCTAAGTTTTGTTTTAAGCTGTTGACACAAATTTTGTTTAAACATACTGATGTTGCACCATTTGCCTAAATTTAGAATATTTGAAAAAAAAAAAAAAAAAATATTTTGCAGGAACCATGCCATAATGGGAGATGGACTAGAGATGAGGAGAAATTTTTGACAGTTTGTGGAGAGCAGGGGGGTGGAAAATATCAAATACAAAGAGTGGAAGGACTGTGCGGAAGACCAGAGTAATGGGTGTACAGACTGATGTAACTTTTGGGCCTATGATTGAAGTGACCTGGGCATGTAGCAGTCATGCACTTTATACCACTCATTCGCATTCCTTAATTAGATCTATGTTATCAAATGTATCAGTCAGTGAACCAGCCTCACCCACCATACGCTCACAGACCTGCCATGTCTCTGACATACCGTCAACCGATGCCACTTCTCCGTTGGTGCCCGAACAAAACTACTCGCAACCACTTACAGTCAGTGAACCAGCCGCACCTGCTATATGCTCACAGACCTGCCATGTCTCTGACATACCGTGAACTGATGCCACTTCTCCGTTGGTGCCTAAACAAAACTGCTTGCAACCACTTACAGTCAGTGAACCAGCCTCACCAGTTGTCTGTTGTTCAATTATGCTTGAGCATAACTAAGAAAATCAAAAGAGAACCAAAATCTTATCAAAGAAAAAGATTAAAAGGCAGAACAAAATAATGTCAATTGGCAGAATTTCTTACCCACCAATCAATAAATGTTCCTGGAAGAGTATCTTTGACTCATCTGGTCAAACTGGTATTCATGTACAACAAAATGAATAAATGCTCAATTATCGCATTAAGAGATTTCTTTGCCATTTGGCATAAATACTTTCACAAGTTCAGGAAAAAGCTGAGATGGGTTATCAATTTGCAAATGTTGGTAATGAGGTTACTGTTCACTGGTTGTATATTTTCACCATATATTTGGGGCCATTCAAATTGGATTGTGTGATATTAATTCTATGATCATGTTGAACTGTTGTTTTGTGAAGTATCGAAGAAAGATATTTCAGTGTTATAACTATTTATTCTTGTAACTAATATCAATCCCAGCTGTATTTCGTGGCAAAAACATACCTATTCTGTGACTAGAATTTCACTTTCACAATTGTTTTTAGTGACAATGTTGATTGATGATCACTAGTGTAAACATACAGACATAAGCAATAATACATAATTCATATTTACTGTGAAACAAAATCAGGATATTGAGTTTATGTTACCATTTCTCAAACGAAAAATGTTTAAAAGACTGTTTGTAAATTGTTTTTACGTTTCCATTTGTCATACTATACTTGGCATTTAAGAACAATATGTTTTCTAAACATTGGTGAATGGAGAATAAGAAAAGTAAGCAATTTTTTCTATAATTTCACTAACAAATGTGATTATTATCACATATTTTAAAAGTTGATGAGATGAATGGTAACTGTTCAAATTTGGGATTTGTCACGTCATGATTATTTGTAACTACCGTATTCGACATAATAAGCGCCCTGCTCTAATAAGCGCCCACGACGATATTTGCTAATATATTGGCTAGTGAACAATCTCAGTAAGCATCCCTTCCAATTGATTAATGTACACAAGACTTATTTACTTGTGTATAATACGCACTCGTATGTCATATGCACCCTTAATTATGGGCAATTAAATCCTGGAAAAATATATCTGTCGTATATAACATTTCAGGCTGTCAGCATAAACCACGAAATTTACGATCTTTCAACTCTAAATAATATCCTAATAAGAGCTCCCTATTTCTAATTTTGAGAGCGCCCTGGGCGCTTATTACGCCGAATACGGTAACCTCTGTAATTGTCAAAGTGCTTCGCTACATGAATTGCCTTAGCTTATCAAACCATACTGTAGATTGTACATGTTGTAGTGTGTATATTCGAAAATATATTGAAAGATTTCTGAGTGCAATTGTTGTGGTGTTAATTTTCTTCTTGAGATGACAGTATACTGTACTAGTACTACTACTTTGGATGTACTTCACATTTCCAATAGCATTAAGAATATTATTAAATTCAAATGTATGTATGTGTGAAACTATTGAAATACATTGTACATGGAAAACATCATTTTTGTCCAGTGGTCAACCATGTGCAGAAAGTCTAATAACAAATACTCTATAACCCTTTTGGGAGGTATTTTCCCTTTTGACCCTTGTAAGTAATGTTGATGCCCTTTAGATTATAGGTTGCTGCATTGTATGCAAAACCACAGACCTATATACAAGTTATACAAGTCCATGGCTATACTTAATCTTAGATCTCCATGTCTACATCAGTGTTATCAAATGACTCAATGTACTAAATGTTAGTTGGGATACTATTAAATAGATTTAATAGAGATTAGGGAAATGTTTCCGAAACATGTCAAGTTTTCATAAATTGGGTATCAACAAAGTGTATCGATACCTCGCTGGTGTATACTGTTTTGTTTATAAATCTATTTTGATTGCAAATTTCACCTGCCAGGAGTTTCAGCTGCAATTAGAGGATTCACTATGCACAAAGCCTGCTGAATTTCATACCGGGCTCTAAGGATTGCACGTAAATCCCCTACTTTGAGAAAGGATGGTCGAAAGTTAGATTTCCCCCATGATATGACACAATGCGCCTCATCAACAATAATGTGACTGATCTGATATTTGAATATGGGGTGAGGATAATGGGACACAGTACACTAAGACATGTTTATTTATAGAAAACATTTAACAAAATGTGCAATAAAATAATCACTACAACAAGGCGATTTTGGTCTTCCCTTACGACCATATCAAAGTCAAAGAGAATTAAGCCTCCTGACCACGTCAAGGTATCGCCCTTTCAGGTTTAAATATTAAATAGCACTATTTTCCAAACATGAAACATACATTAGTTTATAATTATTACACTGTGGCTACGGAGGCGATTGTTCTGCTCTTCGAGAATCGCATTTAGTGGATTCACAACCACTACAGTGCTGGCGGAATCGTTCACTGTATCACAACAGTTTTGCCGCAACCAGTCGGTAGAACACCCAAAACACCCCTTGATGCACATGCCAAAATAGCATCACATTGTTTAGCCTTTAATTGGAAAAAATAACAAGATTGGTACCTGTTCACCCGATCCAAAATATTTGCAATTTCTATGTTACTGTTGACAGACGACACATTAGTCGCCATCTTGTCTTGACTATGTTACTGTCTATATAACCAGCAAAGGCGCTAAACCAGTTTACCGTAACGTCAAGGTGAGGGTTGTTTTACCCAATACCGGTCGTTCCAGTCTGTCGCAGGAACGAACGGGAACCAGTCTATGCAAACCACCTTCAATAACGCAATTCAGGTAAGTTCAAGAAAATTTACAAATTTTAGGTTCGCTTTGTACTTAAAGGGGCACTGATCTAACTCAATTCCCCGGGACTGGTTGTTGCCTTTGTTATTGTTTTTTCCCAGTGAGTACCCGGATGTATAGCAGAAATCTAGACTAGTTCGCGACCTCTGCTGCGCCATTCATAAGCGCATTAGTCACTTTTATGGAAACCGGTAGTAATAAGGGCGTATGGTCACATTGATCAACAAAATGAAATACAGTTTTCGAGATAATAAGGAAATGTAGGTATCTTTGTGGGTAGCATCGGTAATTGTGACGAAGTTGTGATAAGTCACTTGCTTGGTAATTTTGCGATTTTCGTTTACACTATTTTGACTTGCAACACAAAGTAAATATTTCACCTGAGCATTGCTTTTTTTTATAGTGTGTATATTTTTTTTAATGCCAAATGTGTAACATATTTATTAAACGTATAAATATTCAGTTATTTTACAAAGTGACTGAAAAACATTTCCATCTGTATTATTATGATAACGAATTCCAAACATTTTTATGTTTAATGTCATCACCAAGAGACTGAAAATATTACGTTGAAAAGTACATTTCTATGTTGTTTGGCTTCTAATCCTACATAATAATCTCTTGTGATGTCCGTAGGCCCTTTTGATCGTCTTAATCGATCTGGACAGATTTTTTAGTCAAAATGACTGAAATATTTACACATTTTATAAATTGCCTGAGAGAATCACATTTTACAAATTGACGGTAATATATACACGCTTACAAAGGAAAAGACCTGTGAAACAACGTCTATCAAGCATTGAAGAATTTCCAACCAAGACGTAGAGAAACAAGAACGAATCGGTTCAAATGAAGGAAAACAAAATGCAAATACCATAATTACAACCTACCAAATTTATGTGTATAAATTTTAGGCAGCTTCCTTGTTCGAGGAATGTATCCGTGAATATCCACACAAAGGAACAATATCCAACTCGTCTGAAGCTATACAAAGAAACTTATTCGATGTCACGTGTCTCTGTAACAATCAAATATTCTAAAAAGATATATATCGTTTCGGGATATTATAACCCGTGTTCGTTTCACTTGGATTGTCTGGATTCACTGATCACTTGGATTGTTTCAGGTGTTTCACATAGGTGTCAAGCCTCAAGGGTCGGCTGAGAAAGCCCACGTGACAACTATTTTCATAACGTCCACCGTTCCTAAAAAATCCATTGAGTGATAGATAACAATGATCAATCAACGTATTATAAGTTAACCCTTTGAACAAAGTATGTTGTTTTTACATCGGCACTTCACGCCATGATATGAGTGTATTCCCTTTGTTTTAGTAAACCTAGACATGTAAACACTCACTTTTGACATATCCACTGTGCAAGATAACAGTGATTAATCAATCAACGTATTTTCTGTTAATCCTTTGATGACTAGGAACGATCCGTTGATTTACAAAAAAAAGTAAATCAACTGATCATTCATCTCTTGCTGGGCTGCCACGTGCATATTACATAACACACATTTCACCTCACTTCAAACCTGGATTTAGATTGAATAATTACCCCAGACACAATAAATGCCAAATGGGAACCTTTGTCAGGTAATCTATGTGGTGCTACCATTAATTGTACCTGTAATAAATTCATTAACTGAGCATCAAGTGAATGACGACAAATACACAAGTGTAGGGTTATACGAGAAAACGAGGATGACAACAAGGGAGTAGAAATCGTATTATCGACGCAATCCGAAATCCGAAAATGCTTTCACTGCATGAATACTTTTTTAGTATTAAACTATAACCATCTGGGGTATTTCCAAATGACGACATCCGATGAGCTCCGCCGTTCTTTTTGTCTGTTTGTTTAGGCTGAAGAAATTAATTAACATGCGCCCTTTGTCGAAATCTTTATAGATCACAGTTAACCAATCAGTGTTTATGCAAAAATGCGTAAAACAAATATTGCCTCAAGCCTCCAAGTTTATTTAGCTGTCCTTGCAGACGGTAGCCCAGTCTCTGGTCACGCTCAGTTGCGTTGCGTATCATCCGGGTACTCACGGGGGAAAAAACAATAACAAAGGCAACAACCAGTCCGGGGAATTGCGTTAGATCAGTGCCCCTTTAACCTTGGTATGATTGAAAACACCAGGATATTTTTATATAGAATTGTGTAGTTTTCTATCAGGAATAAATGTGCAAAATATTTCTTCAATTGGCCCTTGTTTAATGAGGCACCGACTGTTTGAAATCACCCACCCACTTTAGAGCGCCTTATGCTAAAATTAATCCAGCAGGCAGGGGTAAGAAGTGTTAGAATAATTCAGCAGGCTAAAGGTTAAGACATATAACATTAGTCGATTGGTTATGAAAGGAGAGCCTATTCTTTATTATCTTCAAGATGGACCAGGCAGGGCATTTGTACGAGAAGAGTTGCTCATAGTTCCCAACGATACAGTATTACCACCATAACCATAAGCATAGGTAGTTACAGCATCATTATCAATCCATCTCTTTGTTTCTAAGGGGGATAATGATGTCTTGTTCATTCTTAATCCATACATCCTATGATTGTAACTTCTTAAAGAGTTCATCTCGTGTTTAAATGTTCTACCATTGAATAATGCTTCTTTATACTGTTCGTGTTTGATGTGCATTTTTACCACATACTTCTTAACTCCTTTAGCTTTTCTTATCTCTCCATTATCAGACTTCTTTATAGAATACATCTTAGGTCTTAATCCGACATACTCCGCTATAGGAGTCCCAGTGCATTTACCCTTCATCTTACCTAACACCTTTTTATTTACTACGCTATGCAGTGGATTATCTTTTGGGTAATCGCTTGTTTCGTACATTTCTATTTTTTCTGCCATATCTTCATACACATCCTCGGTTTGTATTTCCATCAACAAATAATCTGTGTCGGTATATAACACCTCACATCTATCGCCGTATTGCTTCTTAAGTTCGTTGTAATAAAAGTCATACATTAAGTGTTTTGACAAGTCGAGAATACTCATACCGACATACACCTGTCTGTTGAATTTTATATTACTCTTCTGCATATGCAACGCGGCTAAGTCGTTATCAAATATCTTGCTTCTGTTAAAAGCCGGACTGGCTATAAGTTTCCTGAGTCTTTCTTCCTCATTAGATCTGACCAATTTAACATCAACATGCTTCCTTAGATTCTCCATAGTTTTACCAAATACTGAGTTATTCATGAGCTTATATAGATT